GTTTGGGATTATGCTTATAAAGTTTAAATTGCCTAAGCTTTATGCTTATAAAGCTTAAATTAGGTTTTGTACAGTTTGAATTTGGCAAAGCAGTGCCGATATATTTTTCAGTAAACTTGTTTTCATGATCACGGTACTGCTATCCAAATTCACCACTACAGTTTCCGCTGTTGTTTTACTGTTCGTCATTCTGAGTCAAATGAATCAGTCGGCGAACTAGTAGTTGGTTTTTCAAACCAAAAGTCCAGATTTTTCAGTCAGTTATGTATTTTAGTAGCACTCAGAATCAGTACTTCGCAATGTAAAATGTTTTATTTTGAATGTAATTGCGAAAAGCGCGCTCTGATTTTTATAGAAAGGCGGGGTGTTACACGACCCAAATAGCGTCGTGATGTTCAGACGACCTCGGTAACCCCGTGACGAAATCCATCATGACATCCTCCCACTTCCACCTCGGAATCGATAGTGGTCGCAGAAGGCCTATGGGACTCTTGTGCTCAGCTTTGACTTGCTGACAGGTTAAACATTTTCTTACAAAGTCGGCTACGTCTTTCTTCAAACCTCTCCACCAAAATGACCTTTTCAAGTCATGATACATCTTTGTACTTCCTGGATGGGCTAGATATGGTGCAGTATGAGCCTCCGTCAAGATCTCCTTCCTTAACGCCTCGACTTTTGGCACCACAATCTTGCCCCGAAATTCCAATGCTCCATCTGTGCCTCGGTGAAAACCCTCGACGCCTTCAGCACGGACTTTGGCATCAATGGTACGAACGAATTCATCCGAAGCCTGCTCCCACCGGATTCTCTCCCTCAGCGTCGGCTAAACCTGCATGGAACTGACACTCCCCGAATTAGCTGTAGGAAGTGCGTCAACCACCTGAATCTGCATCCGGGCGAACTCCTGAATCAACTGGCTCTGCTGAGTAACAATGTACGTCAAGTCACCCTTCACCTAGCGGCTTAGGGCATCGGCAACAACATTCGCCTTTCCCGGATGGTATTGAATCGTGCAATCATAATCCTTGACGAGCTCTAACCAACGGCGCTGCCTCATGTTGAGCTCCTTCTGAGTGAAAATGTACTGTAGGCTCTTATGATCGGTAAAAATCTCGCATCGACCACCGTACAGATAATGTCACCAAATCTTAAGAGCATGAACATCTGCAGCTAGCTCCAAGTCGTGCGTTGAATAGTTCTGTTCGTGTGGCTTTAGCTGGCGTGAAGCATAAGCAACGACCTGGCCCTCCTGCATAAGTACACATCCCAAACCCTGTCTAGAAGCATCACTGAAAATGGTGAAACTCCGAGAAGGATCGGGAATAGTCAACACCGGTGCTGAAGTTAGTCTCCTCTTGAGCTCCTAAAAGCTCGATTCACATCGGTCAGTCCACTCGAACTCCACAGACTTCCTCGTCAGCTGGAATAAAGGAAGGGCAATCTTGGAGAAGCCCTCGATAAATCTGCGGTAATAACCAGCCAAACCGAGAAAACTGCGAACCTCGGACGGACTCTTCGGCGTCGACCAGTTCTGAACGGCTGCAACTTTGGAAGGATCGACCTCAATACCTGCCTGAGTAATCACATGACCAAGAAAGGCTACTCGCTGGAGCCAGAATTCGCACTTGGAGAACTTTGCATACAACTTTTCTCATCTAAGGGTTTCAAGAACAACCCTCAGATGCTCCTCATGTTCATTCTGGCTCTTTGAGTAGATAAGAATATCATCAATGAAACCAATGACAAACTGATCATGATAAGGATGGAAGATACGGTTCATCAGATCCATAAATACTGCAGGGGCATTGCTGAGGCCAAATGGCATGACAATGAACTTATAATGACCGTAACGAGTATGGAAAGTGGTCTTGGGAATGTCTGATTCCTTGATTTTCAGCTGATGGTAGCCTGATCGCAAATCAATCTTAGAGAAAACACAAGCTCCCCTCAGCTGATCAAATAAATCATCGATTATGGGAAGCGGATATTTGTTCTTGATCGTTAACTGGTTAAGATCCCGGTAGTCGATACACATGCGCATGGATCCGTCCTTCTTCTTGACAAAGAGAACGGGTGCTCCCCAAGGTGAGACGCTCGGCTGAATGAAACTGAGTCGTAATAACTCCTGAATTTGCGCCTTAAGCTCTTGCAATTCTTTCGACGCCATACGATAGGGTGCTTTAGAAACTGGGTCGGCTCCTGGAATAAGATCAATAGAGAACTCTACCTACCGGTTAGGCGGTCCTCCTGGAAGCTCGTCCAGAAACACGTCCATGAACTCACGAACAATAAAAACGTCATGAGCTGTACGTGCCTTCGGAGAATCATCGACAAGGCTGATGAGATAACCCTGACAGTTGCCTCGTCGCAACATCTTCCTGGCTTTCGCCATAGAAATGACATGAGGTAAGGAACGAGTCTTAGTGCTGAAGAAAATAATATGATCATCTCCCGGAAGATAAAGGGTAATCTCCCGGTCATGACATCGGATATCTGCATGACAACGTGTTAGCCAATCCATGCCGAGTATGAGGTCAAAGCCCCTCATCTCGAGAACATAAGCGTCGGTAGACAATATACGGCCACCGATAGAAAGGCTGAGATCTGCGGCTTTGGCTGAAGTCACTATATTTTGTCCCGAGGCTAAACTCACCTCGAGAGGATCAACAACGGTACTGACATGAACTCCGATGGCATCGAGACATCTTCGTGATATAAAAGAATGAGTCTCTCCAGTATCAAATAAGGCGAAGACAGGAATATCATTAAGCATAACCATCCCAGACATGGTACCTGGGTGTTGTTCCGCCTCGGCCTGATCGACCGCATAAACACGGGCCTGCTGTCTGCCCCTCTGCTGCTGCTGGGGTGGCCTCTGAGCCGCTGTCGGGGCTACTGCTGTTGTGGCTGCTGGGGCTGTTGTGGCTGCTGCTGGAGCTTCTTCGGACAGCGGTTAGCAAAATGTCCCGGCTCGTGACAATAATAACAAATGTCCTGACCAATGTGACACTCTCCACGGTGAAGTCGTCCACAAGTGGGGCACTGTGGAATCTGCTATGGCCTCTGTCGGGTCC